ACTGACTCACAAAATGTGAAACTACTGCTTCACAGTTTGTGTAGCCGCTAGAGAATAGAGCTAATGTATTCCAACTGCATTCGTGGACAACCCTTTCTGGAAGACAAAGCACCTGATGCAAGTGCAGCTGACCTGGAAAAACACATATGTAGTGTTTGCTGAGAGTCTCTGTGGAAAAGGAGCGTTGCACCATTACTGAGGATTTATTCAAATACAAATAGAAGACTAAAAGTCTGTGAAGTTCAGCTCATCCCATTTTGAATGTGTTGTTTTAGTGGTGTCCTCACAAGATAATTGGTTGTTGGGTCAGAGTCAAGGATGTCAGCTGCCTCTTCAGGACATTTTTATAAAACAGTCCTTGAAACAGGGGCTGCAACCACTGAGCCCGCCTTTAATGTTTCTGCGTGTACACACGTCTCTGTTTCTCTCACCTTAGCAGAGGTCTCGAACCATCCAACGAAGCCGTTCTCCTGGCAGAACTGCTCCATCTTTATTCCATTGTTGGTCAGTACTTCCCGACCCTGGTCACATTTGTTAGCCAGAAGCACAGTGGCTACATTTTTCCCATTGGATAGTGTGAGCTTGGAATCCAAGTCCTCCTTCCATTTGGTGACGGCCTCGAAGGAGGCTGGCCGAGTCACATCAAAGACGATGAAGGCGCCCATAGCTTCACGGTAATACACGCGGGTCATGTTACCAAACCTCTCCTGACCTGAAAAAATACACACATAGACACAAAAAGAGAGGAAAGAGTGATGAGATCAGAGATGAGAGAATAGACTAAACTTCTAAGCGTTTTCATACAGCAGTTGGGCAAATTCATGCAATAATTCATTCATAGCTCTTTTCTACTCAGTACGGTTAGAAAAGCTCCGTCTTCATTCCATTATTGGTCAGTACTTCCCGACCAATAATGGAAGCCTCAAACGGGTGAAGAAGAAAAGATTGGTGGTTCATTTGATGAGTCCTGCCGTGGTGTATCTGACATGAACAGGTGGATAAAAGCACAGTATTAGCTAGAGAACAGCTGGCAGCATGTCAGTTTAACTCAAGGACAAATCAGACAAGCAGGTTGTCTTCAAAGCACTTCCCTACGCTGTTAAGTTCAATAGTGCTGATTCAAAGCAGAAAGTTGCACCTTAAGTTACAGGAGACCTTGGTGTCACACTTTTTGGTGATAACCACTTTTTAAATGAGTGAGGAATTTAATATATTATTAGTCTTTTAAGAGTCCAAGTGTCTGTCCAAAAATAGAGACTATATTACCTAACGATCTCTTATAATAACCACAAAAAATGTATACAGTTGTTACAATAATTATTTTCATTGAGATATTTATAAAAGGATAAGATGAGGTGCAAAATGAGAAAAATACAAATCAAAGTTTTAACAATAACATTAAGGTTTAAAAAAAGCAGTTTTAAAAACTACGTGCATATATAAGTATTAATTAAAGTAGAAATCAAAACATGTCTTGTGGACAACGCAAATTAAAATAATCATCTGAAGATGGAATCTGGAGGTTTATTTCCAAAGGGTTATAAAGAAGAAAACGGCCAACAGATTTTTTTAGAGAATATTAATGAACTTTTGAAAAAAAAAAAAAAACACATTTCAGGTGGGATAAACAAAACTTATACTTTGTGTTTTAAAGCCAAGCTCCAAATTCTTAATGCATTTGCATCACTTTGAAAGACATAAACTTATCTGATTTTATTTTACATGCCAGAGAAACTAGCTTTGCCATCCTATGAGCCCCAATATTTTGAAAGATGGCCGACCAAAATAGCACAGTCAAAGCTGTTTATCCTGGGAAAATACACAGAAACAGCGAGTGATTCATCATGCCACTGACTGGAGAAACTGAAGTTTATCATCAACCACAAAACCTTTTCCCACAAAGGGAAAGCCTTCTGATGTGACAGCTACATTTTCAGTTTTAAATTATGATTTTAAGAACAGATTTATGAACAGTGCATATTATTTAAAAAAAAGCTTTATGTTCCAAACTGAATGGGGAAACAATGCACAACAAATGAGGTTTTCCCACCTCTGGAAACCTTCATACGACTTTGCAATTCTTCCTCTGAAGGAGAAGGTTTTCAGTTCATAATGAAAGCTCTCTGTACACGAAATCTTGGGCCTCAAATCTCCCTCACGAGTCTGAACCACATGACTGCTTGCGCTTACTGGAGAGAGCAAACAGGAGGGGAGAAAGCAGCAGGTCAGAGGATTCTTCTAAACCTCAGCCGACACTCATGTGATATTGGAACCGTTGTAGCCTTCAGGTTTGTCATCATGCCCACTGGCGTTCAATCGCAAATGAAAAGAGGCTGAATTATTACTCATTTCTGTGGGCAACAAAAGTGTGAAAATATTATAAACTCTATCAGGATGTATGAATAGCGTTGCTGTAAGAACAGTCATCGCCAGTCGACCGTCTAAATATCAACATGCTTCCGTTTCACGGTGAAGCAACTACGATGTGATGGCAAAAATGAGCATGTAGCAATGCACTGGCTGATCCCACATGAAGAATTATCACGTTTTTCTTCTGCCTACATATATATGTGGACTTCATGAATCACAACTCTGTGTTTTAAAGAAGCTGCAAGGTAGAATGATTTACTCAGATCAGTTTCTACATTTCAGTTTTTATGTCTGTTTTAAGCTAAGGTTATTCTGATGCACAAATGTTTTTTTTAAAAATAGCTTTATATGTCTTTTACATCATATTTTCTTACTAAACATGTATAAAAATGAAATAAAAAATGGAAAACTCATCTGAAACGCAGCTGACTGATAATTCTCTTTTTTTCGTTATTATTATCTTTCTGACTGCTTGCATCTAATTCCATCAGAATGCCGCCCTGGGTGGTGAGCCACATCATCCATATTAACAGCTGTCACTGTCCTGAAGACCTAGCATGTGTTGAACCTGAACTGAAGAGCCTCCTTCATTAAAATCACTTGAAATGTTGTTTTTTTATGACATGAAATGTTTCTCGTCAAATGCATGCTTAAAAATTGACTCTAGAGTCATTTGATTTATGTGAGGCCTTCACCAAAATATATATATATATATATATATATATATATATATATATATATATATATATATATATATATATATATATATATATATATATATATATGATATAGTGAGATATAGTGCCCATAAAGCAGGTTCACTTAGTTGCTGGTGGAGATACAGACAAAATTAAAGTCATGCTTCAAACGCAACAACTTTTTTTTTTCCAGAGATAAAAAGATGACTTGTTCCTCAGTGTGCAGCTTCTCCTCCACCACATTTTAATAGTTAGTTTGTTAAAAGCCAAGTTGAGACGTTAAAACAAGTTTGACTCCTGCTGGCCTCCACTGGGTGTTCCTCCCGTTCCGCATACTTTGTGCGTAAAAGCGGGCACCGTACCTGCGATGTCCCACAGCTGCAGTCGCACCGTCTCCTGGTCCCAGCTGAGGACTTTGAGGGCGAAGTCCACTCCGATGGTGGCGCGGTAGTTGGGGCTGAAGTTGTGATGCACATACCGCTTGATGATGCTGGTCTTCCCGACCCCGAGGTCTCCTATAACGAGAATCTTGTAGAGGTGCTCCTTGTGGTGGTTATTTTGCATGGCGACCGAGGAGGGCGAGAGCTCAGCATGAATCCACCGTAATGGAGAGGACTCGGAATATGGCAAATAAATAAATAAAATAAAACACTCAGGGAAGAATGCAGAGACAAACGCGGAGAATGAAAGGAGGAGGTAAGGTAGTAAACGCCCTGGCCCCTCGGAGAGAAGTGGAAACGTATGGACCTTGTGACTGAGGAAGGGCCGCTGCTGCTGCTGCTGCTGGCGCTGCTGCTGCTGCCTGGGAGTGACCCTTTCCACTACACTAGAAACACGCAAAACCGGGATTTACGGAAGTCCTCCTGGATGATCGAGGATAAACGATTATCTCCACACGAAACAGGGTGGGAAAAGTACCAAGAGCATTTCCACAAGTTAAAGTAGCAAGCGAAACAATTGAATTCAAAAGTAAACAGATTAGATGTCTTGACCTTTAGGATTCTGGTTTTGTATTGTACTGTAAAAAAATATGATCATTGTTATTCCGGTTTTCAATTATGCTCCACTCTGTGTTGGTTTGTAAATAGATTATGCAAAAACGTTATGGCTGCAACGTGACAAAATGGAAAAAAAACAAAAACAAAAACAAAACAAAACCAAGGAGTTAGTATGTAAACTGCATTCCTTTATCACCTTTTGCAAGTTAAAACCCAAAAGCGTATGACATAATAAATCAATTAATTACAGTGGTTAGCATGGAACTGTAACTTCATCTAATTAAGTTCCCTTCAGGATTTTGGCAATGAAATAGCTTCAAAAACAAGCCCATCAAAAAACAAGAATCACCAAAACCCAAACAAAAAAAAAGTTACACGTCAAGGGTATAATGATCAGTCAAGCACAGGGTTATATACTATAAAATACATGTGAACTCTCTTAAATCCCTGAATGCTAGTGAACTCTGAATGCTAGTGAACTCTACCCAGTTTGAATGAGGAGAAGCAGATAAAACTCTCAGACATCTTGTTGTTAAATGCACTCTCCCACATCAGTCAAAATTAGCTTCTTGAAAGTGCCTGCACTGATTACTAAAGCATGTGAAAAATGCATACATAACAGTTTTCTTTGTCTTATCCTTTTTAAAAATAAACACATCAGAACTTCAAAGCTTTTTTTTTACTTGCGCATACGACTAAAAGGAAAGGTATTAAAAAGGAGAAAGTAATGGATCCCCACTGCACTGATCACAGAATATTTACTTGCTTTTTTGCCTTTTACCAAATTTGTGCTTAAACTGATCAACATAAAGCCCTTGCAAAAACAATTAGTGGCAAATCACTTAAAAGGATTTCTAAACAAAGTCAAGCATTTTACTTCAACCGAACAAAAACAAACATATCAATACAAAAAAAAGGACAAAATAAACACATATTGTTTTTTGCAAAGTGATGCATCCCTTTATTTTGAGAAATTATCTTTGCATGCTCCACGGGGAGCAATCCACCGTGAAACATGGCAGCAATGATGTCAAATTGGAAGCAAGGACAAAAGACACATCGATTCTCTGCAATGCTTTCCTGAGACAGAGAAAAAAGTCCTGTGCCGGACAACTGACAAAACACACACTGATAAATCATTTCCCTTTTAAATGTTCAATGTAGAATTTACAATCCGTTACAGGACAATCAATCCATTCTGGCTTGTGTTGGCAGTAACAGCATGGATTTAGGAACAGCATAAAAATTAGCAAACATAATTGGAGAAAAGGAGGAACACTGGATTAAAAAAATAATAATAATAATCACATTCAACATCAAGATACAAATCTGCTCTATCCATGTCATTAAAATCTAGAATAAGAAGACATAAGGTAAGAGTGTGTGGTGAAACTTTTAAGAATGATACGAATCAAATACAGTGGTTGTATTTTTCAGTTTTTTATACATCCATGTTTCAATATCAGTTTAATTTATTCATAGGTATCAATCTTATAGTTTTAGACTTCAGTAAGCATTTCAGATTTTGAAAACTGGTGGACAATCCTACCCTTTTCAGTTTCAGTATTTTTAAAACTCTAAAAACACTAAAAGGAAGTAGCAAGGAAATGTTTCCATTAAAACTTCAATCAGTGACTTTTCATGCATTTATGCATGTGCTGGGTCAATCTTTTTATACATCCATGTTTCAATATCAGTTTAATCAGTACAAGGAAGCCGGACCACAGCGTTCCATGTGATCAATTGCAGTTTCATATTTTTAAGTCAAGATTGAAACTAAAGACATTCCATTTATAGAAATTGTGATCAAGGCACTCATTTGTTTTGATTTTGAATTAAAAGCATCTACAATTTGGGGATGGGGTTAGCTGCGACTGCGATGCTCTCGATAGCGCACTCGTCGCTTCCCCGGCGAATTCGGAAGTAGCCGTCCTCGCCCCATTGGGCACCCCAGCTGTTCTTCACAATCCAGTACTTCTGTCCGGTCTTATGGCAGCGGCCGTAGCCCACCAGCAGCACTGCGTGGTTGGTCAGCTCGAAGGGATTGATGGAGTCTGCAAGGCCCGTGTGGTGGTAGATGCCTCCTTTGTAGTTCATGAAGTCAGGGTACACCTGTAGACAAACACTAATCAATAGTAGTTCACCTTTTTCTACCATTTTGTTGTGTTGTATGAGGTTAATGTTATCTTTTTGTTTAGGTTAATATCAAAGTCCACAGTCATGCCTATTTTAAAATGAAACTTTTGGCATAGATCGCCTTTCAAAAGTTTATTTATAGTAAGACCTCCATCTTGCAGAGACACACGTAATGCATTTTGCAGCAGAGCTAAGATTTGCATCTGAACATCAGACATTAAGCAGCTGTCGTACCTCCAAAGCAACACCTATCGGTCCATTCTTGACCAGTTCCAACATCATGGCCGTCTCACTGCAGCCACCGTAGAATCCGCCTACGTATCCATACTCTGCGGTGTACATTCGACCGCAGTTTGCAGGCACGCCACAGGGAGTGTCCTTTGCCGTGTACGGAAAGCAAGACTCATCCACAATGCCAAAATCCTGTACATATTTCCCAATCAGGTAAGGGAAGCCCCCATCGCAACCTTACAAGGGTGAAAAAAGTAGAAATCTTTAAGTAAATAAAACACTTTTTAAATGTTTGCTTATCTCACAATAGACTGCAGATATTACTCTACCAACAGAAAAATCTGCTTTAGCAGAAAATGTTTTCATTTGTATTGGAAATAATGTCAATCGTTTAGAGCATGAGTTTACCTTGCGAGTATTCAGAGCAGGAGACCACTTGTTGAGGACTAAAGACAGGGCCATCGCTGTTGTTGGTGAGGATCCGAACCCGAGCTTCCAGCATTCCCATGGTGGCGAAGGAGTAGCAGCTGCCGCAGGATGCTTAACCACAACAAAGATGGAGAGAAAACACTGCTATGAGAAACAACATGGAACAGTGAAAAGGCAGCTTTTTAAAAGACGCTTTGTCCCTTTACATGCAATAGTTGACAACATATAATATATAAAATATAATAACAATAATAAAGTATTTTTTGGACTAAATTCAGCGCTGAATGTTTTTCAATAGTCTTTCCCACAATATACTTAAGGCAAGTGTGTTGTGGCGATGGGTGCATGCCAATAGAATGAGGCAGTCACAGAGAACAGATTAAATAAAGTTTGTATACATGAGTCAGGCGTTAGGTCGCTAATAAAATGATCTAAGGAACCAATTAGGAAAGGAGCAGACGCCACAGGGATGTGCTGGGCGATTTAATTGCAGTAATGATTCAGGGTGAGACAGTAGAGAGTATATTTGGGACTAAAGACTTCAGCTTATTAGTAGCAACAAAGTAAAACAGACTTTCGTTTTGAACCAAAGGTTCGAAAAGTTCTGCAGTTTATGAGAAGACTCGAAGCAAGAACAAAAAGAAATAAAAAATCCATTTAACCTACAAGATAGAGCGTTACAGAGGGTTCATAGAACATGATAAAATTTTGATTAGATAAAAATCACAAATATGTTTCTTTTTTCAATATGTCAATACTGTCTTTTAGTCCAGAGCCGTCACATTACAGGAAACACATCCATGTGTCTCTAATCTGTTATCAGCAGGGCGTGCTCATCATAAGACCGTTTCATATTCCTCCTGATTGCTGCTCAAACTGATGTGATTGATTCGGATTTGGTCACAGATTCCTCTGTGTTCTTTTACCTCTTTGACAAGTGTCACATTCAGACTTTTATTTCCTCAGGCAGAGGAGATTTTCAAAGAGGCCCATCTTCCAGTGATGCACACAGGCACAGCCTATAGATCACACACTTAGACATCTGTGTGGCTGTTTTTTTTTATGATGCTTTGCAGAACAAAGAGATTCTTCAAGCGATGAAATTCCTGGAAAGTTCTAAACAGTTGCCCTTCAAATCCAGATCATTGTAGAGATAAATTATTTACAAAGCAAGTTAACCCCGAGGTGAAGCGCTGTCAGGAGTTGGGTAGAGAGAAGGATTTTCAGACCGTAGATTTTTCAAGCAGAGCTCACAACAGCTAACAAGAAAAAGAGGAAGAAGAATGCTTTATAAAAACAGAGCAGCAGGGATTCAGTAGATTTCAAGCTCGATTATGCAGGAACATTTCTCATCCATCTCATTATAGATATATCTACAAGGTAAAACGCTTCTTCTCGAACTGTTAATGCTCAATGTTTTCGTGTTGATGTAAATGCTTCATATCTGAAATCCCCCTATCTTACTTAAAAGACAGGGGGAACAGAAGGGAAGAGAATTTAGTCAATACTTTGATCAGAAAGAGCAACTGTTTTTACTAAACGAGTTATCACTGGGCTGCGTAAAGTCCTCAGGAGAACATTGCAGAATGTTCTTTTTAGCAACCCTGCTGCAACATGCAATTTCTCTTCTCCAGCTGGAAACACTTCACCGAAGTATCTGCTCATTTAAAAGACACAGCAAAGCAGGAAATAAATGTCTCATGTAATTTGTTCAGATAACTAAAGCGCAAGAACTTTAGATCACATTTGGTATGTAGCTACGTCAAACTTTCTGTGAAAAACTGGACTCGACTCATGCAATAAAAGTAAAATAAGCTCCATAGCCCTCCACAGTACCTTGAAGGGCTATTCCATTGAAGCACCTTGGATTTCTCTAGATGCTTAAACCCCACCCTATAGAGGCTCTCTCAGACACTCGAAGCACTCTGCTTCTGCAATCTCTCCACTCACACTCAGCAGTGTGCAGAAAACAGGAAGAGAGCAGCAAGCAGACCCAGAAGGGCAAAGAGGAAAGGAGGCAAAGCGAGTGGTGAAATGATTCTGAGTGGAAACTATTACTGGCAGCTGTCAAACGTAAACCTGCATCTGATCCGTCCGGCCATTCTAATATTAGTGCTAAAAATTTTAAGTTCCTTTGAATTAAAACAAAAAGATTTGAGTTTCTCACTTAGACTAGGTTAAAAAAAGTTAGATTTAAAACTTCATAAAAATATATATATAATTTTAAAAAGGAAATGAATTGATCAAAAGAGCACCTTTTCAAAATTATTATATGACTGTAATGAAAGGTCACCTTGATTTCTCACAGGGCTAACAAAGTTGACGCCATCAACGTTTCTCCAGTCCCAGTGATCGGGGAGGGCTGCCGCCATCTTGGCTAAACCAGCTTCCACAGGAGCAGGGCGAACACGTCTGAAGAAGACATCAAGACGCAGTTTTAAAGGGGAAAACCTGCGCCACACGTCTGTGGCAAGCCAACGGCAATTCAATCAACAAAGATCATCATAAATTGATGTTATTTAGCAGGAAATCAGATTTATACATTGTCTATCACGCAAAAAGGATGAAATGAGGAATGGACCAAAGCGCTCACACAGGGATACGAGAGGCAGGGCCGCCTGCTCTGTAATGCAGCTCCCGCAAAGTGTACATCTCATGCTCAGGATACGCCACAGCCTTCCAGGAGCTCTGAACGGTGTTGATTAAATCAATGAAGTCCCCGTTGTTTTTATACGGCTTCGGGATCAGTCTGGGGAAAGAGTAATGAAAGAGCTGATGCAGATTTTATCCACGGAAACAAACTTCAGAAAAAGCAATCACTTTGAGGACATACTGGACATTTCACTGGACAGAAAATCTACAATTAAATTAAAAAACATAACATATAGGATCCATTTAGGCTTGTCTCTCATATTAAAATAACATTCTAGCAGATATTCATCATTTTCAGTAAGCCCACAGTTCTGTAGTAAGTGTTATTGATATCCTGTAATACTCTAATCCCTACCATATTGTTTCTTTACTAGCTATAAGCGGACAATCATCTAAATTACCAGAAATAAAGACTTTCAAATGTCATTTTGAGTGCAATTGAGAATGCATGTGAGAAAAAGATGGCAAGAAAAAATTCAGTTAGAAGAACAAAAGAATGTAGACATTTTACTAAACTTTCTGCAAACAAAACTCTTTCCTTGAATCATGTTATCACAGAAAGCAGTTTCATGTGACCAGAAACTGTATGCTCAGGCTTTCATAGCAAAAGTCAGATAGCTAGATAAGGTTTCCTCACACTCACGAGGGGTACTACTGAAGTAGAGAAAATCTAATATGAAGCAGAAATGTAAGAATTGCACATTAGTTCTTTTCATATTCCTCTGGATCCCTTGATCACCAGTTCAAGTTCCTATCGTTTGTACTTTGCCAAAATAGTCCCAACTGTTCGTAATTTAGGTACCCGCTGCTGAAGACCGGCTTAGAATCTGCTCTGGGCGGCACAGGCGTCACCCTCTTGCCCACAAAACAGGCCCAGTTGCGCCCCAGCACATCGTGGACCCATCCTGGCAGGGTTTGGTCACAGTAGCTGGTCACCTTGGAGCCTTCCTGGGTGTACTGCAAGAGTCAGCAGACAAATTAGGACTTCTAGTCTTATACACACAAACACACGCTATATTTTTCTGAAAAAAATATAACACTTTTCAAGGTCAATTATTTACAGTAACTTCTTTAAATGATGTTCTTTATATGCAAACTCAGTGCCAGTAACAACTTCACATATACTCAAAAATTGGGCTTTTTGTGAAGCATTTAAGAAGCAGCAAACTTCTTAAAATAATTTTATACATAACATGGTGCAAAACTTTGACTTTATTAAAAATGTTGCATATATATGTATATGAATTTACTTAAATTAGATGGTTTGCTGCTACAAACCCTACTTTTAAACAAGGTCTATATATTTTTCATTTTCTAGGGTAAATCTTGCAGTTTTATTCACTTGATTTATCTACTTCAAAACCAGTTTATGTGTTTCGGATCAACCTGCCTTAAGGATAGTTTTCTCATCTTTCAAAAACCGTTAGCTCACATGAAAGGAAATTAGATACAACATTCAAAACAGTTTTATGGTCAGAGAAGCCAAAGATTAAGTTACTTGGCCACAATGATAAGAAAGCAAAGAACATTAAAGCTCTCTGGAATGGTAGAAGCAGTGTCATGCTGAGGCTACAGTTGGTTGCCAGCGTTGGTGCTGTACCATAAAATTTATAAGAACAATATAAGAAGAAAACCCATCAAACTGGGTTAAGAACTCATAAAGCAGGCTAACATTAAACCTTCAGAATAGCTACAGACCTCAAGTCTTCTGAAACTTTCTGGACTATGCTAAATGCCAGGTACATGACTGGACCCACTAAATTTAAAAGAGCTCTGTTGTGTCTCCAAATCCACCATGATGATAGTGACAAATATTTGTGAAAGTATTGTATGTACATGTGTGAGAATGTATAAAAATTGCAACCCTAGCTGGATAAGATAAAATGCACAGTAAATGTTTGCGCATTTAAATAGTCACTGAAGTTGTTGCGTATGCCTTTAACCCAAAAAGAATGACTCATAATTAATTGAAAACCCACAATCAGGTCTATGACAAGAATGCATGTATGTTCTGAACACTTGTTACTGGCACTGATGAAGAGTTAAAAAAAAACAAAAACCCAATCAGGTGTTTACTGAGTCAGAGGTTCCAGAAGACAGTATGATACCAAAAAACTTGCAAGTCATAACAAATAATGAGGAAGTTAAATCAGAACAGAGGCTGGAAAATAAAATGGCTGGGAAACTTCCCAAATTTCAATGTCATGTGAGTGACAGGAAAATAGCACATGACCAGGGACTTAACTTTAACTCTACTGCTTTTTACACCGTCCACCAATCTTTACACACTATCAGAGTGCATGAAAATAGGAAATGAGAAAGGGTGAAAGCACAGAGAGTTAAAAATAAAATATTCAACAGCAAAGCCAACAAATTCCATTTACCAGTATCTAAATGACAGATTTGACTATGAGTGAATCAGCAGAGCAAAACATGCACTATCAGATGTGTTTGATTATTAAAGCTAAAATGCTGAATTTGTTTCACTGTTACCTTGAAAAAGGCAAACCATTTGTAGCCACCGAGCACCACCTCAAAGCCCTGGTTGTAGATGAGGGTGAAGAAGCCCGTGGTTCCCAGCTCATTTGTGGCGATGGACAGTTTCTCCAGGGTCACAGTCACTGTGCTCTCACCTGTGGCTGAAGAGAAAACATGAAATCACATGACTTCATAACAATCTAGATAACCTCTCAACTATCAGAGCGTCTAATATAGTTTCAATATTTCATTTTCTGTCTTATTACTGAATCATAACAATCATAAGCAAAGAAATGTAACACTGAGCCAACAGCTTATAATGACACATTCAGCTTTCTTGATCTGAAAAAGGCCTCAATGTGTCACATGATGTCAAAAATCAATCAAGTGCTATTTCCTTCTTAGCTTCTTACCCTCAACAGAGCAGTTGACGGTCTTGTCGTGTCCCCCTTTGGACACCTGGAACACCCATGTCCCCAGCAGGTCTTCATAGGTGCAGTTAGCCGGTGTGTCCCCCAACGACCCCTCCACCCAAAGCAGGGTCACACACACGAGAACAGCGCTGAACCTCATGTTCACTCGCTGCCAGCTCACCTGCACAGACAAACACTGGGAAACCCACGCAGGTGTAAAGACAACAGCGCTCACCCTGACTGTCAGGCACCTGTCCTGCTATTCTGCCCCTTTTCACGGGCAGCAAGTGGCGTAAACTCAAAGTTTACCCTCAATTTAACTTGTTCCGTCAAGATGGTTCGCTACAGCTCGCGTCACAATACGCATGCGCGGCAAACGGCTTCCTGTGGATCCCAGATGCTACGTGAAACCCAAAATGCTAACTTCTGTTTCATACTTTATAGATACTTCATTGATAAATAGCCTGAGTAAACTCTGTGTAAACTCAATAATGACCTTGTGAGTGCAAGACATCATACACTCACGGTAACCAAGACGCAATAAAACCCAATCAATCACATTTCCTACCAAAATAAACGCGCATGACAGCAATCCTCTTGCTGCCGTGTGTTCTTCGTTTCTTCTTCCCCTTTTTAGTTTCGCTTTAACCAGAGTGGTTTTACGTAGTCATATGACCGCTGACGCTGCTTGAGGAAACAAACAGGAAAGGTATTGTGAAGTATACCTTTTCTGTTTGATCAAAGGTAATCAATGTGTGACCTCAGTTACAGACACAAATTAATCAGCCATTTACAAACACAGTTGTTCTGCATCGCAGAGAATAACAGATTCAGCAACAGCATTTTCATGATGCACTTCATCATTTTAGTTATGTAACACTTTTGTTATTTAGATTGTGCAAGGTCTGCATTTTAATGAAAAGCTTCTTTTCTAAAAGACTTTTCACAATATTTTCTATTGTCTATTTTTTTTTATTCCAATTTAATTTCACTATGCAATGAAGGAAATATGGACACTGGCTAGAAAGATCAATATTGATAGTTTTAGACCCAAAGGAATATTGTTCATAGTATATGTTAATTGAATTAACCCTCTGATGTGTGAGTGACTGACTATACAGTCTTCTGTGACCCGGGTTTTTTGACCCGGGTTACAATCAATGTTTTTTGGGGGAGCGTTTTTTTTTTTTTTTTTTTTTTTGCTTCTTTTGTCATTTTGATTCAAAATTATGTTTTGTATCATACTTTGTACTGTGTTTTATTTTCACACAACAATAATTTCATGTTTGAAATATTTTCATTTTTCACTTAAGCATTTTCAGAACAATCTGTAGAACGTTTTTGACAATTTGTTGAACATTTTTAAAACAAAATGGCAACAACAGCAATTTTACAACAGCATTGATGAAATGTCAATAATTGACGATGTCAATATCCATTATGTGGATGTGTGGACATGGGGGAGAGCAAAAGAGCATGTTTATTGAAACTGGGTGGCTAACCAAGCTAGCTAACATTACTGTCTATATTCTTTTATGCTATGTGTATCATGCATGTGAGTGTATGTGTGTGTGTGCATCTATCCATCAATCTTCTTCTGTTTGTCCGGGGTAAGGTCGATGGGAAGCAGCCTAAGTAAAGAGGCCCACGGTTTGCTTTCCCCAGCCACTTGTTCCAACTCCTCTGGGGGAAACCTAAGGGGTTCCCAGGCCAGCCGAGAAACATACTCCCTCCAGTGTGTACTGGGTCTTCCTCTGGGTCTCCTTCCAGTGGGACGTGTCCAGACCACCTCACCAGAGAGGCGTCTAGGAGGCATCCTAACCATATGCTCCTCTTGACGTGAAGGAGCAGCGGCTCTGCTCTGAGGCCCTCCTGGATATCTGAGCTTTTCAGTATCTCTCAGGGAGAGCCCAGACACCATATGGGGAAAAATAATTTAGGCCGCTTGTATCCGTGACCTCGTTCTTTTGGTCGTGACCCAAAGTTAATGACCATAAATGACAGTAGGAATGTTGATTGAAATCTAATCTAATTGAACTGAAAGTAATTAAGCTGTACATAGGGCTGCACAATTACATAATTAGGATTATTGCCTTGTTTTTGAAGGGTCCTAGATCTAATCTTTTCAAATATAAGGAAGCCTAATTCTGATGTATTTCATCTCTTGTCATTTGCTAACATATATGCAATAAGAAGCAATGAAATCTGATATTGAGCGTATTATATCAATTAACAGCTAGTCAGAAACAGGCCTTGAAGTGTCACAAGATATCAAATATTATCTCCAACAAAGGAGCTGACTGTCATGACTGATTTTTGGGGTGTATAACATCACCCCAACATGTCCACATGTATGCATTGCATGCAAAAAATGCCCATAGATCACCAATAAATGACATTGTATTTAACTGTGTTGTAATGTGTTAAATTCACAGTTAGGCAGAATGACAAGTGTCAGCAACTAAATGTTTTAATTTTCTATACAGACATTTTTAATCCTGTAAAAAGTATGTTTTCAAAAAGTGGTTTGAGTGCAAGTCTGTGTTTTATGTGCTGCTGTTATGGTTAAAAGAGACCATGATGCCTTATGCAATGAGAATACAAGGCAACATGATCTGATGATGCTTCGAGATCTAAGCATCATCATTAGATCGTTAGATCTCGAAGCAACAGAAAGTCAGACGTCAAGTGAGATTCTGAGACGCTGCTCAGACCATGTTTGCTGTCTTTGTCCATCACAACCAAAACTGTGTATTCTAACAAGCTCTGTGGGAGAATTTTCTCCTCACTTGTCCGCTGAAAGAGGTCAGAGAGTCAGCCTGCCTCTTATCATGTTTGTGTGTGGGTGTCAATGGCTGCTGATGGCTCTGTTATTAAAGGGGTTAAAGAGCTTATTTTAGCTGGCGGGCACTTAAGGGAAGTGCTGGAGGCTTTTATCACCATGGTAACCATGACATGGACTGACTCATCTCCTTGACAGACCATAATAAGCACTCATCTGAAGAAGGGACTGAAGAGGAATTAGTCACGCAGTCTCATTAGTGCCATTACGCTGGGTTTGCACGGAGGTGCGAATGCATGTGATTGCACTGCTTTTGGGACCATGTGTATGTTATTGCATTTATGGGATTTTATGCCTGCAGGCGAGCACATACATGCGTGCAATAAAGCTAAGAGAAGAGAGGGAAGCTCGGGGGGTGATGTTTCGAATGTTAACGGGCTGAACCCACTAAGCCTCAGTGAGTGACTCATTGAAAGTCGTGTTTCAATCTTGATACAGTTCTCGCTTTCACAGGCAGGAAATTAAAACTTCAGCAACTCTGGGTTCGCCTTTATTGGCAGCCAGAGATTTGTTCTCTGCCTGCTCTGATTCCTCTCTGCCACTTTTACATGCTTTCTTCTTCATTGAAGCTGTTTTTTTTATTCCTCAATTTCCGTTCACTGAAGTGTTCTTCTTTGTTAGTTATTTCCTCGTGTATGTAATAGTTGCTTCATTTACAGCTTATACAAACACTACGAATAATATTTTGAATATTGAGTAAATTATTTCTACCCATCCCCAACAAAATGCTTTTATGGACATTAATCACATTGTGGATGTTTTCTATCCTGGTTTTGAGTGAAACGTTAACATTGCACTAAAACAGCACTGTTTTAGCCTCAGGATATTTAATGCTATTCTTTTAGTAATCAACTCAGAGTTCTGTGATTCTTGTACTTTGAGCTCTTTTTCTTGTTTGAAACACTGGGTTGGGATTAAAGGTGCTGCACTGTATTGGCTTTATTCCTATTTAAATGATCGAATGCTTAGTATAAACATCCAACATTTCTTGTCCCATTCGATTCTTCGTTCTAGAAGGGTTCCCCAGAGTTCAATTCTTGATCCTCTTCTTTTTTATTTGTACCTGGTTCCTTTGGAGTCTATTTCTAGAAAGCATGGCATTTTCTTCCACTGCAACTACCTGATTTACCTACTTCTAGCACCTAATAATCTATGTTTTCAACCCCTGATAAACTGCCTTGAAGGTATCAAGTCTTGGATGGGCTCTACATATTTTGGGCTTCAATGAAAGAAATATAGAAATTGTTTTAACAAAGACCCCGCTTATTCATTTTTTGTTCCCTCAAGTCATTCATCAAACAGCATGTAAGAAACTATGGACTCAGATTTTAGATGTAATAAACAGATTAGCTTTGTTTAGCGAAAAGGTTATTCGTTTTGAGGTAAATAGCAAAACTTAAGCACCAAAGTATGACTTGAAGAGAATAATTTATGCTTTTATGTCAACTTGTCTCAACTATTACAATGCATGCAATGATGGTGTCAGTCAAGAAAACTGTTTTACACCGTAGGCTTATTAAAATTGCTGCTGCCCCCGTCTTTCAACTGGTTCACTAAGATATGAGCCCATCTTACCAGTCACCTCCTTCCTTGATTGTCTCCCTGTGAATCACACAATTAATTTCAAAATCCTAATGTTGACTTATTAATGCTGAAATGGTCTTGCTCCTTCATTCCTCTCTGGTTTGCTTCAGCCTCATCTTCCATCACAGGTCCTTGAATCAGCCGACCTGCTGGTTTTAATTGTTCCAAAAAGTAGGCAGAAAATTAGAGAAGATCAAGTTTTTTTCTGTTGTGGCTCCCAAACTTTGGAAATAAAATAAGGAATAAAGGGAGACAAAGTGTTCATTAAAAGGTTCTGAAACTACCAGCAGGGTCAATAAAAAGGGTCAGACTGGTAATTAAACATCTGACAGTCTGAGGAAGGAGTGTTATAGATGGGCAAAAATGACTTCTACAGGAGTTTGCCTCCACCTACACACCCTGAACCCTGGCAAGTAACATAGATCTCCATTAAATTGATATATCAGCTCTACAGGGAAGTTACAAAATAGAAAATGAAAGAAGTGTTGGCCTGAAAACTGATAGATTTTGAATATTAGACAGGCATATTCACCTCCTGCTTTTAAGTCTCTTAAAAACACATTTTTTCAATACCATTTGCCCCATTATATTATTGTTGTACAACACTGAGTGAACATGCATGCGGTTTTTAAAATATGCTTCATAAATAAATTGTATTGTTACCTAAATAACAGTATTATTTATGCATTTGTACTGATTTGTAAAAGCTTTCATATCTGATATTTTGATACATTCCAATCACAAATTTACGTTTTTTGACATAAAGTAGGACGAGTTTTTTTTGTTTTTGATTTTTAAAAACTAATTTAGAATTATTGAAATTGGATGGAGAGTTTTTATGGGCATGTGTTTTCAAGTCCTGTCACAGTTTCTCAATTGATTTTTTGTCTGAACTTTGATTGAACCAAAAACAAGAACATGCTTTCTTCTAAATTAAGTTAAGATGTTAATATAGGTTGAGGGGAAAAGTCGTGTCTCAACCACACAACTGATCACTCACCATTCTGCAAACAAATACTATATGAAAAAAATGTCTCTGCTGCATTATTTCCTTTCCATTTCACTATTATGTACTCATTTGTGTTGGTTGACAACATTAAATGCCTAGTAAATGAATTCAATTTAGTTTTAGTGATGATGATAGTTGGGAAGAAATTGCCATGATGCCTTCTCGGTTCATTTTATGAAATGGGGTCTGGCCCTGTCTGCATTTAATTTAATTTATTACTGCATTTATGCAAGAATAAGTAATTTATGAAGCAGTCAACAGTTCAAAGTGGTTGAGTCATCATCAGCGCTGTTACATACTTGATGAGATTTGACTGAATATACTTTAGCATGATGTCTGAAAGGCATCAGCCTACTCATTTTGGAGTTGTTTTAGCATGCCTTAATGGGAGTTTTATGATCATTTTAGTACTTAAGGGTTTTTAATTGTCCGAAGCGTGTCTGATGTTATCTCTCAGCAGCAACACTGCCTCCCTCTGTTGTTTGGTGTCCGTGCCGATTGATCAGAATGAAGAAAATCAAGAACAAGTTTGTGTTTTATGTGGGAGAAACTCAAGTTAAGTCACTTTAATCTTACATTGTTACGTGGACTCATCTGGTGGAGCATCATGGCTGGTTATCCATGCAGTACATCCACAACTGAACGAAGTGCAACAAAAGGTTTTCACCTTGACAAAATATATGTTCTTGCCCCATTAACATGATGATTCCCTTATACTTTTGAAATACTGCACAAATATCTTTACACAAAAAAAAAGAAAAATAAATCTTAACCTTAGCCATATTTTAACTCTGAACCAAATCCTTACATATTAAAAACAGGAAATACCTGATTTTATTTGAGCTCAGGTTCATCACCATGGTGATGGGAGGTCTCCATCAATTGGTGTGCAATCAGTTAAGAATCCTCACAGGAATAGAAAAACAAAAACACAGCCTGACACTCACTGTTAACCACATGCTGTCATGACACCCCTTTGCCCACTCAGACTTTATATATAGGCCCCACCTGATTGCACTAAACCAATCTCATTCCATTTGCATACAACTGGTAGCAGTAAATGGAGGCTGTCAGACACTTTGTGAGGATTACTCACTGCATCACAGGGTTCATCCAACCAGAAAGAAGGACACAACGAAGTGGAAGAATTGTTTTATGGGCAAACTAAAGTTCAAAAACTTTTCAGTATCTGTAACTGTACTGTTACTGTAGACAATAACTGATACTGTGTTACCAGATCTAATAATCTAAAAAAACACCAATGTGTGAATTACAGAGACTTTTGTTGTTACAATGGTAAATGTTAAAGGAAGGATGTGATCACGACATCACCCAGACTCATACATCTTCATAGTGGGATCATAAAAAATGAACTGGACCTCTGCACTATTATGTCAGTCATAAAACTGACAGTGGGAGTCCCAATTTTGTGAAATTCATTTTTTGCACGTTTAGAGTAAAATAAGGAACAAAGGGAGATGAAGTGTTAATTAAAAGGTTCTGAAAGTACCAGCAGGGTCAATAAAAAGGGTCAGACTGGTAATTAAGTGTCTGACAGTCTGAGGAAGGAGTGTTATAGATGGGCAAAAATGACTTCTGCAGGAGTTTGCCTCCACCTACACACCCTGTACCCTGGCAAGTAACATAGACCTCCATTAAATTTATATATCAGCTCTACGGGGAAGTTACAAAATAGGAAATGAAAGAAATGTTGGCCTGAAAACTGATACACTTTCCAGTGTCATAATGTTGCTCAAGTTGGGAATCCTCCCATAGTCTATAGTGATAATAACTGGCTGACCCAGTATTTAATAGCATGAGAGGAAACATTTTAACCCTTTTTGTACAAATGTAGTTCATGTTTCCCAATGCAAGATGCAACTTTATTTATTTTGTTTGCATCAGTGGTTCCTGAACCTGATTCTCAGAGCACACATCATTTTTACTTCTACATTATTTTGCATAAATCCTAAAAATAAATGATGGCTTTTGAGCAGGCCTCTGCTGAATGAGAATGTAATTTGTCCATTTGAAACAGGATACAGAACCATCTCAAACCTGCTACACAGCATAATGTGAGGACAAAGGCTGATTTAGACATGATCTAAATCAGATATATCTCCATTTCTCCAGCTGTCGTCCCCGATTTCATCACTCTGGAGAAACTCACCAACATAGCATTTTGTCAAAATGTTCATGTTTGAGTGAAACACATTACTCATAGATGGTAACTTGTTCAGTTTTGTTTTCAGGTTGAAAAGATAAAACTGAATGTACTTAATAGACTATGATATATAGAGGGAACTTTCCAGGGACTCATAAGGCTCATATTGAAAAATGGATAGTCCCTCAAATAATCTGTTATTGACACAGATCTGGCAAATGAGCCCGTTACTACATTACAAGTAAAGCACATCACGCCCAGATAACTTCAAAAGTAAAAAATAGCCTCAATTTGCATTCTTGTTTGCTTAGTTGCATGTCAGGCTTTCCATCTACATGAATCATTTGCTCACTTGCAACAATTCTGTGGTTTCAGAGCAATTTCTCCGCAAAAGGCACAAAAGATGGAAAAAGATAAGTGTGGAACTGAGTGACAGAAGGACATAAAAGAGGTTGAAGTAGGTAAATCAGATGATGTGGAGAATGAATAAACTGTAACAGGATGATTTTGCTGTCTTGACCTGTACACCTGAAGATAAATGAATGCAATGTGTTTTGGGGGTGGCTGTTTTCAGGATATATACTTATATATCCTGTCATGATTTCGATATGACGTGGAAGGAAATGGAGGGGGAAGTAAATATCACAGAGGGTGTTGCGGTGCTGTCAAGCAGCCTTCACTGACTGTGTCCAGCAAATTGGCCAGAAAACTGACAGACAACTCTCTCCAAGTCGTCAGCGATAAATCTGAGAGGTTTTCTTTCTTTTTTGACATTAATAAATAATGGATGAGCAGAGCGTTAGTAATGATCAATGCCATCTGAATGTGGGACTGAAGATATTTAAAATGCGTTCAGAAGAGCTGATAAAGTTAAATCATGTTTTCCATCAATTCTGTGTGGTACAAATATAGACAGAATGTGAAAAGTTTAAGTTCATTTGATTTACAAAAAACATATTTTCAAACAAAAATGTTTCAATCGGCTTTAGTAAAATTTTCAAATGTTAAGACGTCACAAAAACTACATGAAATTAAGTTTATTACTTTAGCATGGACGGCTTAATAAGCCACATCACATCTGAAAGTGCATCTTAAAATCCTCTTTTATCTGTGTTGAAGATGAATGTTCTATATGCTTTCGCTCGGCACTATAAACAATCAAAAATCTGACAAAACAGCGAGTCAAACATAGATTTTTTTTTAATAACAATAATAATATTAATTCAAATGTACTTTGTTGTTCACTTACACAATGATCATCAGTGGCAACAAAAATAAATCTAAAAGGCCGGACATTAATTTTACTCTCCCCACCACAAAAAGCCACATCCCAGTTCTTTTCCCCAGGACCGCTCCATACTGGTCACACAAGAAGAGGTAAAAGAAAACGGTAACCATAGTTTTCACAGTTGTTTGTTAAAAATACAGAGGTTTCTCTGAGCTTTCTTCCATTTCAAGTCGGCTGTCTTTTACTGCCCAGCGGGGGGGGTGTCGGACTGTGGGGAGTCAAACTGCGGTGACTTTTGTTAGTGCCACACTACAAAAGCAGCACACTGTGAGCAAAAAGTGCCCCACACAAGACTGAATTTACTTGTCCTTCCACTACAACATTTTAATGCTTTTTCTGGTTCACCAAGTTTAATTTTGCACAGGCTTCTGATCCTCATAGATTCTAACTCTATATTTTTAGCACAGAGCTACTCGTGAGAAAAGAGCAGATTAGATGATGGCTGAAGCAGAGCAGAGAGGATGCAACATTTAGTGCCTTGCATAACTGTTCACACCCATTGGTTTTTCCCCACATTTTCTTATGTCTTAAACATTAATGTATGTTATCTTATGAGACAGAACAGCAGAAAGGACAGCACAATGGTGTTGTCGAAGGGAAAGTAAATAAATTTCAAAATAAATAAAATTGAAAAACTGATAGGTGTGACAAACATTTGTATTTAGTCTTAATCTGATATCACTGAGTAAAATCCAGCCCAAGTAACTGCCTTAAAAACTTGTTTCATTAGTAAGCAGAGAATACCTGTGTGTAATTTAATCATAAGAAATTACAAGATTTGAAAATGTTCAAAGGTATGTGAATTTTTTACACAAATAAGCATGTATGAGACCAAATTATATTGCACAGCTATTAAGGAGAAAATAAGATAAAAAGAAAGAGAATATAAATGATTAAATAATCTCTCATGTCCCTAGAAAAACGAGTAATATGAGCTAACTTGTAACATTTTAAGGATTTTGGAATTGTAATACAATTTGCACAAGATTTTTTCTAATTTCTCACTGTCCTCTTTATATGTAATTGGGAGTTTAATTAATTCTCTGGTTACTGCTTACATAAAAACATAGCACTTTAAAGGCTTCACTGAAGAGAGGCACTGATGATAAAACTGCATTAATGGAACACCAGCAGAGTCAGAGGAAAGCCTTAAATGAAAGACATTTATCGTAAAAGAAAAAATAAATAAAAATTCTGCAGCAACCATTTTCTGTCTGGAGTGAATTAAGTACTTTCAAATAAAATCCTTAGTAACACAGACTAATAAATCCAGCCCACTTAGCAGAGAGAATTTAACTCATTCCAATTCTCTCTCAATAAGTTTATGATAACTCATCATCACTTTCCTTTGATCAAATGAAAGCCTGAGTACTGCCACTCTGATGAGCGTTGGTTCAATTAGGTTTTTGAAGATAAATCTGAGCTGCAAACAGATTGGAACACAGCATTCGGCGGTAATTTATATGTTGATGAGCTGCTGTTGTGACTGGAATTTGATTTTGTGCTCAGGTCATCTGCACTGGAAAAAAAAGAAGAAGTAAACAAGCACATTTGCTCATAAGTGTGTACAATCTCGCTGTAGCTGAAGTCGGTAATGAAAGTGGACAGTTTCGATTATCTCAGAGGAGCAGCGAGAGGATAAGCATTCCTTCTACAGGCAACGTTATTTTATTTATTTAGCTAATACTCTGCTATTTAAAAGACTCTGATCAGGGATATTAATGAGGATTTTTCATTCATATCTTTTCCATGGCATTAATCTTCAGCAGAGCATCTGTGTGTGAGGAATGTACAACAGCCAAACTGGTGTTTCTTTAATGTTAAGGTTTACTTTTCCATTTAAATGGGAAGAAAAAATAATAAAAGGCAAATTTTATAAACCATACACACACCATTTTGACATAATTCTGCAACCATCTGCTATATAATCTCACAAAATAACTCAACAGAAGCTCATTAAATAACATATCACTTTCTTACATATGTTGAAGATAAATTAATAAATATAGCTTCCTTTCTTGTTCCTAATATACCACACAGGCTAAACTGCTTGTTCTTTTCTTTATGCGCTTCATCATTTCCATTGTACATCATAATAAACGTTTGCTTTGCTGGAACAAAATTAGCACTTAAATAAATTAGCAGCTTTAGACACACATACAAAAATACTTTTTAGTGGTTTGTAAGATGCCTCTCGCCACCCTCAAGGCTTTGGGTTTCTTTATTCTTACTAAATGCAGCAACTTCATCCACAGACTACAAACAAAGCAACATTCTGGACGTTTATGTGTATCTCATAATGTATTTTAGAGTACAACTTTACAGTGAAAGTGCCTTGAAACCAGTATTTTTCTTATGGTGATATTAAAATCTGATTTGTTGATTTGCAAGTTTGGAAAATTGGAATATTATTGAAAAGTTATTTTAGATTAATATGTGGAACATAATTAAGTTTTAATATTGTGTATGTGAATAATCCAGCTAATTTATGAGTGTTATTTTTTGAATAGCATTTCAATAACATTCCAATTTATTTGCTGCACCTGTAGTCCTGTGAATTATTTTCCAAATGTTTGTGCACTTTGTGATGTGCTTTAAAAATAGGACTTTTTTTCATTTATGTTTTGTGTGTAGAGAACATAAACAAAACCCACAGTAAATTTGAGAAAATGAGAATATCATCGGGTTGATCTGCATTAATCAACAATAACAGTCTAACACAAACAATAACAATATAATGACCGAATTACCCTCATAAGAATGTTCATTATCATAATTACATGACAGTATTTAATGGAACATTCAAAACAAGTCTCTCCGGGTGTGTCCTGACAAAGTGCACAACCAGATGTCTAAGTGGTGTCTGGGCAATAAATGCAAATATATTTATTCTGAAAAATAATAAGCAAGCAGGGCATTACTGTTCTAAAGCAGGAGTCCTCAAGGCGCGTCGGAGTCAAACCTGCGCTGGACACACTTCACATTGAGTCTCCGAAGCACAGTTTGAAATGTATTAAACTTTTATTTAATGCTTTCAGTGCTTTTTGGCTTAAGGGACACTTGAGATTGTTGCTGGGGCCCTAAAGAAAACCATTCACTGTGGGCCTTGTTAAAATGAGGGCTGACTCTGGCAACAGCTGAAACAAACAAACAAACAAAAAAAATCTTTTCTTTTTTAAGCAGTCAACAATTTACTTTAGAAAATATTTTTATTAAAAAAAAAAATCCTGACTAGATTTGGAATGCAATCATCTAAGTTTAACCTAGACACAAACTTCAGACTCCTACATTGAAAACATATGTATAAATACAAGCTCACTTCTTCCAATGCAACTGCTTCCATAATGTTTTGCTGGCTTTTCAAAGGTCGTGTTTTAAAATGGTTAACAGCGAGAAAAGATAGCAGACTTGATACGCATGATGAACAACTGATGGCTTGCAGATCAAGCAAAAAAGAAACAAAAACACTTTAAAACTACAAATTCCATCATTGATCTTTATGAAATTTGGTTTAATCATATGTTTGTTTCTCCTTTGTGGAGAAGTCATAATCGTTAAGTGCACTAGTGTCAGACCTTACAAAAAGTCTCATGTTTTATGCAACAGCAATTCAACAAGATCCTCTCTTCGTGACAAAACCTCTGTCATCACCATATCATCAAATAAACCTAAAAGCCTAAACCTTGTTGAAATGATGCTGGGGGGAGGCAAAGGGCATGACATCAGGATCGGCTGACTTTTTAGCGTGAGACAGGAAAGATGTTTTGATAACCACTGAAATGGTTTTAAATGTTCAGAAAAGGGCTTCAAAATATCTGAATCTATTTTTTTCACCAACTAAACAGACGGAGTATGTCCGGATTAAAGAAATGTTAAAGCTCAGGGATTATGTGTTCAATTTATTAGAGTGTATTTATGAAAGTGAGTTAGAAAACAACATTTTGAGAGGAAAAACAAAAATTAAAAAACCGTTTAGACTTATGACTTTATCATGAGCGCAGAATTAATTTGCTCGATAATCACCATTTTTAAGCAGTCTGTATGAAAGAGACAATAAATTAAACCAAGTTGCCAGAGAGTGAGATACATCTTAGCTTTCTGCAGAGGCTGCGCTTCACCCAGGAGGCTCCTACACGCAGCAGAAGTGCTACAGTAAGCTTTTTGTTTGTTTGTGAACCCAATCTGACAGCAGCAAGCAAACCATTTTCTCCAGATCGGTTTGACATCAATGCAGGTGCAGAATTCCTACACAATTTCTATCTAAAAGGTTAATTCTTCTCCAGACTTGTATTTTCCTGTTTCTTAAGAACAATTTTTCACATCTGAGTAAAAACCTTCACTTCAAATGTACAGCTATTGATTGGATAGCAATGTACTTGCATTGCCTGCATGCTTTAAAAATAATATGAAATAAAAAAAAACAAAAGTAAAAAACAAAACAAAAAAAAAACAGTATAATTTTAAATTCTATTCATTCAATTAAAGATGATTACAGCCAGGGATGAACAGTAAAAATGTGGTTGAAGTATAAACAAAGAGTAAGAAAATAATGAATTTCAACAAATACAGATTCAATACAAAGCAAAGCAAAGTTTCAAGCTATCAATCCTCTATCCTTACAGAGTTATCCAAAGAGGGCTTGTAATAAGAGTGGCAATTTTGGATGATTTATAAAACCTCAGGTGTGGACTTTGTATACATATAGATAATATTGCTTCTACACGGAAAAATATGAAATATTTATCTAAAATGTATCCAAAACAATAGAAACAATTTACTTTTTTTTTTACATTTTTTTTATGAAACCACACATTTTAACCCACAATCTAGTAAACTAGACACCTCTTACCCCTTTGGCACAATAATCATATTAATAGCAAGTATCATAATATTGTTCAATTACGAGACATTTGAATATGATTTGTCACTCACACATTCAGCATAGGAACACAGTTTCTCTAGTCGTAACACATATTTGTACTGTATAACAGCTTAAAAGCATCAGATTTTTTTCTCTTTTTTAACATTGGTTGATATGTAAATAAATTGTCTTTCATCTCGATTCAATTAATTTAAACAAAACAGGTCTGTCTTTGCATGCCCTTGTTATTTACAAGATCACTTTGTCTGAGTTTGTTCTTGCCGGCTACAGTGGAGCGCAAATGTTAAGCAAACATCAGACAGCTTCTCCCTCGCGGCAGACGAATGCACATGGTGCAGAAAATACATGGAGACGGTAGTGGACGATATGTCACAGGAAAGACTTTGAAGCACTTATTTTTGTTTTGAGAATTGCTTTGAAATTTCTTTTAAATTGAGTCATACATAACGCAGTTAACCGAACTAAGGTAAAAATGCATGTATTGTGCATCTGAACCGATGGATGTTTGGTATTGTGTTTTTTTTTTTTTTTTTGTTGACGCTGAAACAAGCAAAGGCCTCGTCTCTCAGAGGGGTTGTGTGGAATGCATTCAGCTGCACATCTCTTCTGCTGCAACCCAGAAAGCAAGCGTTGGCACATGTAAATACATTCGCTTTAAAGGCATCCCCAGTTCTCTACAAAGCCAGTTTGCTCAGACATCTACAAAAATGTGTCCGATTATGAGACAGTTAACTCTTCAGGATGTATCACACAGGACCAGGCCTGAGTTGAAAGCAACTGACATAAAATCTGAATGTAAGAGAAGAGATTTGCTTTTTCGCTGAGAGTGAGATGATAATAATTACACTACTCGGATCTATGTTCCCTCAATATAAGCATCCTGAAAATGTCCTCATGTATTTACCAGACAGAAATTCGGAAGGTACTTACTGTCCGCTGAAAAATGCTGCAAGAAGATAACTTTTATTTTGAAGAACTTCATAAGCAAACTGGGCCAAGTTTTTTCAATGTTATCTTTGTCGGTAAATTCAATTAACTCACAAAGAAACCCGCACATTCTTTAGGCACAATCGACTGAAACAGAATTTAAGCTGTAAGTCAAAGGGATTACAACTACAACCTATTAATTTATGTTCCACTCAACATCTGAAGAGGTTCCCTGACAGAGCAAGAGAGAGAACAGCAGCTGATATACACAGAATACTGTGTGATGACTGGAGGGGTCGTCAGAAGACTGAAAACAAATCGTCTAAATTTCGTATTGGTATATGATTAGGAATGGGCTGGTATGATGAAAAGCTCGAACAAAAAAAACTATGGTTTAAAGTAGTAATGTGAACGTTACGGTTAGGGTTGTCTAATTATTCCTTTAGTTCTGATTTATTCAAGTGATTTCACAGTAATATCACGTATTGTTATGCTATTAATTAATACAAACGACTGAACAATACATTTCTTTTACAACTGATGAAACTTTGATGGACAAATAAATAAGTATTTACTCAAGGTTGCAATTGTTACCCATGTTGTAGGGGTCAGAATCACAGACTAAACTTGGCTTTGAAAACTCATAAAGTGTTAACTACTGGTAGTCAGAAGTTTTTGTTTGTTTGTTTTGAGTTCCCCGTTGGAGAAAAAAACAAAACAAAAAGCATTTTCCCAAAGAAGCAAAATCGGACATTGTGTTTCCAAATATCCATTTGTGAACATAGCGTTTTGTGTCAGAGCAAATAAAATGTCAATAAATAAACTCGCAACTTATACAGTTAATAACAATTAGAGCCGAACCAAATGAGCAAATCTATGTCCAAATGGCAACCGAGCCTTAACTCTCCCTCACTTTCAGCAAGATAGCTGTTTCTCCCCCCAAAAAGAAAATATATATCATGGTTTCAGATGATATTCATGTCAGTGTTTTTACTCTTGATTGTGAACATTTGCCCATGCCAGTCATTTTTCACTGCTTTTTATTGAACTTGTGATAAAATATATCATTTCAATGGATAAATGGAAAAATGCATAATTTGTCTTTTAAAATTTAAAAGGTTGTTCAACAAATGACCTTTTATAAGACTGAAACCGCCAGCTAAACCGTCAATTTGTACTCCACTGCAAATGTTAATGACTTTTATTCTAATTCAATCTAAAGCACTGTTTTAGATTAAACAGGTTACTGCCACCTACTGGCTTATTGTATCTGGAAAATGTCATAACTGGACTCCAGCTAAGCCTTTTAGAATGTATTTTTGAATGCCACATATTAGCAGAAAAGCTTCAAGGACAGATCCTTCCCAATGATCCACCTGAGTGAGAGCTAAATACTGGAAATGTTCACAGGAAAAACGAGGCCTGGTCTCGCCACACCTCCTTCGTTCTCCCTGTCTCAAGTTGCAGGCGTAGAGCTACAAAAGATTTGGTCCCAACTGCCTCAGGAATAATGTAGAAAATATACATTCAGACTTACTGGAAGAGTAGAAAATATAAAAACACACTGATGTCATGAAAGCTGAACAAAATAAACTAAGCTTTTGGAACAAAATGTTCTAGATTAACACTGTTTTAGAATGTTAACACTGTTCACACAATGCACTTTCATTAGACACTAGTTGGATTTTATCACTGAAGACAAAATTCATGTGTCCTATAAATCCACTGCTATTCCTCACACGCTTTATTTATAATCGTGTCCTCACACTTTTGTGATTTGTGTTAGCAAATATATTTCGGTTTGTGCCCTTTGTCCCTTTGTAGTTCTTACAGGCACTCTCTGCTGCCGTATTCCTGTCACCTCTCCTTCTCTAAGTTAGAGCAAAAACACACTCAGGCCCATTGAAGCGCACACACAGAATCTGTAATTAGTTGTAAGCCAAGTTACCTTACGGCCACTAGCCCAATCGAAATGACAGAGAACCTCCAGGAAGAGTTTCTGCTGTTACTGAAACACATCCGAGTCAGAGCGGCCGTTTTCAATTCTCACCCAATAAAGACGGAGAGAAGATACGACATCCTCTAGAACACGCATCTCACTGTAAACATGTAAACACAAACACAGCTTGGTGTCTTCACCAACCAGCCCTCGATGATGACGTCTCCTCGGGTTTTGACTCCAAACGGTGATCAAACGGTTCTGCTTGATCTACTTTATCCAGATTATCGCCTCTCCCTCACAGTGAGGAGGAACTCTGACTGTAGTTTCTGAGAGTCAGTCTGGTGTACCTAGGTGAGGGAGGAGAAGGGGGTGGGTGGTTGGGGACAGGAGGGACAAACAAACCAGTCTCTGAGATCTGGGAGCCACTGCTGGATCCCAAAGAGTCACGGAAGGGAGAAGGAGGAGTAAGAGCAATGAGCTCCTCTTCCAGCTCAACCCTCCTGAGTGGGGAGTCGGGGATGCAGGCGACTAGGCTTCCTCTTATGGGGGAGAGCGACGGGGACGTGTGGGGATGAGGCAGAGGCTGAAGTGGGTAGGGCGAGCGAGGAATGGAGTGAACCGGACAGCCGCCCCGGTTGCCCAGACTGGGCTCAATGTGGGGAAGGGGCTGGACGTCAGCATAAGTGGTGAGGGTCGGGGGCATCGGGATCTCCCGGGGTAGCAGGTAGGGATCAGGGGGATGAGCGGCAGGGGGAGTGTGTTTGTGCGTGTGCGTTGGCGAGGTGGAGAGCATCATGCTGTTGAGCTCAGAAATGTTGGCGGTGAAGCGGTTCACCACGCAGCTGATCTGGTCCATCAGCGAATTCTGGCGCGGCGGTGGACGGTTGTCCACGGCCACCAGACGCCCATCACTCCCACCGGCAACGGAGCCACTGCTTGGAGGCCCGCAGCTGCTGCTGCTGCCGCCGCTGCAGACGCTGCTGGAGTACTTAGAAATGCAGGCTACCTGGGACTCCTCCCCCAAACTGGCTCCTATCCTCTGGCTGACGGTACTGATCGGCGACGGCGTCTGCGGCCGATAGGTGATTGAGTAGTGCTCTTCTGCTTCTGAGAGCTCATAGAGAGTCTTGTCTGTGCCGTAGTCAGGATGAGTGGGCAGGGAGGACATGGAAGAGAGGGAGGGCAGAGGTACATGCGGAGGCAGGTCGGATCCCCCGGAGTACCGCTCCTCAGAGGTTTTGGAGAAGGGTTTAATGACCGCTGTCTGATTGTTCTCTTTCTTCTTGATGTGGAAGGACAGCCGCTGCCATAGGTGGTTGCCTCGGGAACTGCTGCGCTCTGTCTGCGCCCAAGACACCGATTTACCATTGGAGCTGCGAAAAATGACAAAAGCCGAGAAAAGGAAGAGGAAAAAGTGTTTAGCGCTGGGATCTAGATGAGCAAATTCAATATTCTGTTCATTAGCCTTTCAAGCCTATTTAATAATTGTGCAAAGTAATTACAGATAATAAATAAAACATTCGGCTGGAGCTTTGTGCCAACCACATAAATCAGTTACACTTCATATGCTCATAAATGTTATTACTTTTCTCTGCCTTTATTTTTTCTTTACAAGATCTCATGTTTTGTTTTTGCTCTTTAATCACCTTTGCTTTTCCTCAGTTACAGAGATTCACATGTTGGTCAAAGGGCACAAATACACTCCTCATTGGCATGGATTTCATGTTAATTTTGGACTTTTATTGATGCATTTGAGTAACTTGAATGATAAGATAGCTTGCAATTTGTATGGATTTTTGAAATAATAAAGTTCTTTGCAACTTTGAATAAAAAAAACGTATCTATATATTACACATAGACATAATACACATAGTTATATCGATTTTAATTTCCTGCCTTTCTAAATTTCCTTTTAACGTTTACTTGCCAGTCCCTATGGTTGTTGTTGTTTTTTTCAGTCCTCCCTGTTTCACCTGAGTTCAAGAGATCTGTCCTTCGTTGCTCCTCTGTCTTTTTGTCAGGTTAATTAGTGCGATTAATCTAAAAAGGAACTCCTGATTAAACCGCGTACCATCATGGTAGGGGTAGAGACGATAGAACTCAAATCCCCTTTCAATGAACATGCAGGACGGGGCTTATGGAGATACATGCTGCATACTGATCTGGACGATCGATTTGCTGTGGCATCTGCAGTGTTTAGCTCAAAGTTGGACTTTAACGTCTGGTGAAGGTAAGCCAACGTCTTTTCAGCTGTTCAAACATTTGGTATAAACATTGATCAAACATGTCTTATTCCTCCAGTCTGCAAAATTATTTTCCGTCTATGTCTGTTCTGCCTGCTCTGACAACGACAGCATCTCAAACACAACAGTTTCCAGCCCTTTTCTGAGGAGACAGACAGCCCTGCCAATTACCACCACCCACAGAGGACGATAGGACCAAAAGAGACGTGCAGGGGAAGAGAGGAAAGAGAGGAACATAGACATTTTTTTACAGGGGTGTGATTGAGATCTTGCTTGCCAAGCAGGGTGAGCTGGAGCAACCTGCTGACAAATGAAAACGTGTCCCAGTCTTTTCTCTAAGACAGGGGGTGATGCGTCACTCCTTTTTGAGTCCTTTGATCGGTTCCCTGGCCGGAAGAGTGCGAAGAGGAATAATGTCCTCCTTTTCTTCCCATCACCTCAGCTCTTCATTTTCTTCACCATCCATCTTTTCCACTGTTTATATTCCCTTTTCTACTCCGCTCCCTCTCAGTGGGATGTCTCTCCTTCTTTGTCATGCCTTCATGAGGCAATTTTTCAAAGTTCACAATGAGGTCAGAAGAAAAGGTAAGCAGATTCAGGTGAATACAGGTAATCAATCTCTCACACAGCAGGAAAGCTATAAGTGGGCCTATTATGCACCTTGGACTGTAACTCACAAGTACCGTGGCGTTAAACTGAGCAGAAAAGCTCTGGGTGGGGGTGGGAAGCAGACTCTTACACACAGTTATACCTGAGGGTCTCTCCAGTAGAGCCTCTACGCTTAAACAGGTTGACCAGACTGGAAGAGCGGCTAGCAGCGGAGGATGACTTCCCATCTCCCACATGCATCCGGACCACGGTGCTGGTGGTGAAGGCACTGCGCACGTTACGCTCTGGCTTGGCCAGAATGATGTACACCTAAAATGGAACAGAGCAATCCATTCATAACTCTCTATTTTTTTGTTATTTTCACATAAATATTGAGAAGTCTCAAGTCTTACTTTCCCGAAACAAAAACAAATGAGAAGGCTAAATTAAATGAGCAGATTTTCTTTTCATTTATTTAAGGTTCGTAATATTTAGCTAATGCAATGCTAACCTGTTATGTCTTTCCTGTCACAGTCACCATTAAAAACTGCAGACACATTTACACATCAATAAGCAGACTGGTAAGCAGACCTGTGAAATTGTTGGGAGAGAACGGGATTTTACTCTGCCAACATTATACTCTGGTATTTCAATAAATTTATTGAAACACCAGGAAGGTTTTTTTAAATAAATATCTGATACCTGCCAGAAAACTGAACTGGGTCATAATTGGGTCTTGTGACATGAAAATGATGGTGGCCAAGTTAACAGAAAAACCGAGGAATCCATGACTGAACAACTTGGAGAGATTAAGCAGGAAATCTATGACAGAGCTCCCTCTCTATTATGCAACTGCGAAGCTTTTATATAAATGTTTACCAGTGGCAACAGTAGCTGTGGGTGGCACAACTAAACCAAAAATGTATCCATTAAAATGGTGAAATGCTATTTTCATTTTAACCTTACCTTGGGTACAAACATGCAGCACAGAGCCACAGTGGCACTGAGGCTGACACTGAAGCACATGGTGATGATTTTATAGTTGGAGCCAAAGTAGATGGGAACAAACGCCAACCAGATGATGCAGGTGGTGTACATGGTAAAAGCAATGTACTTGGCCTCGTTGAAATTAGCTGGGACATTGCGGGTCTTTTAAAGAGAGAGAAAAAAATTAAGAATCAGTCAAAATGTTGTAACTATTTATGATCAGGGTTTATTTTTGTATTGCCTTCTTTAATGCAGATGTGTAATAGTCACTGTTAGCTTTTGTCAACAAGCTTTAGAGCTGGAATGAATATTGATGCAAGATGTTTGCCCAATGACTTGGTAGTAAAGGTAATGGGCTCTGAGACTTAATGAACATCTATAAAACTCTTTATAGGAGAGAGAGGTTAATCAAGTGGCAGTAAACTTAAAACACTTATCACAATAATGTATTCTGTTTCTTACAGAAAAATGTAAAACTCTGCTCACATAAACAGCATAGTAAAATTAAATGTATTCACTGCTGTTGATAAAGTTTTCACACCAAACGTTCAGAGTGCTTCACCATTTCTGTTCACTTTTTATGTGAGGGGATAAACTTAATATATGTGAATGAAGGTCTTATTGAAAAGCCAATTCAAATTCACAGACTTCTGCAGAAAAATATGTCAATTAGATTAATATCTACCTGATAACACATTCCATAATTTTTCTGCATTACAAAAATATAAATAAACATCAAAGTAAACTTAAATGCAAACAGAAAAAAGACACACAAAAAATAATAATTACAAAATTATCCATTAAAAGAATTTTTTTTTCCCCCACGTGGCATTAGAAATTCAAAATGTTTTGTCACTGTACTCCCTGAAAATGGGAGTTAATTTATTCCAGAACCATGCTGCATAATCTACTGCATATGCTTACTGGCCTTAAAGAGAGAATGCATCTGGAAAGAATGTAATTAGAATAAAAAATGTGTCCATCTGTGATTTTATATAGTTTATAAGATTTATTCACAACATGGTTTGGTGCAAATAAGACAGATTTTCAATAAGAAGTGTCCTATTTTCTACCAGAGCATGACATTTTATGACGGTATCCACGAGCAACACTAGTTCAGACTGTTGGCTGTTGTAACTTGTCAATGCATTGACTCTATAAACCAAAATATTCACAATATTTTGGGTCAACAAATAGTTCTGCGAGAGCAAAGTCTGCCGATATACAAGTGTTGCCGATGTGCAACTTATTATTCGCCTCTGTCTGAGCTACAGTTTTGAAACCAACATAAATATTCATAACTATTCCTCTGAATGAATAGTCACAACAGAGATATTTTTGTTAATTAAAGAAACAGACAGGAAACATCAAAGACATACCTTGAAGGCATAAAAGGTACAGCTCAGGATCAGCAGGCCATTGTATCCCAGGGGGGCTACCACTCCGAGGTTAGTGGTGTTGCAGATAAGGTTGACCTGGCGGATGCTAGGGTAGTCGTTGATCACCTGGAGATAGTGAGAGGACAGAGACGGGACTAAGCTATGCCTGGGTTGTATCTTAAGATCCCGAGGTTGGTTTCTTTAATCATGTTACCGTGCTCTTAGTTCACACATCTGCAACCTGAAAACTTACATTTGGTGGCTCCATGAGGAAAAGGGCCACAATGATGCCCAACTGCAGCAGTATGAGGAGGAAGGCAATGATGAGCTGGGCGCAGGCTGACATGAAGCGAGGTTTCTTTGTACAGATCTTCTTTTTGCTCCCTGCCAGGATCCGAGCAATGCGGTTCGTCTGCAGTCGGATCCCGCACATCATTAATACATACATCACTTACTGTACTGGAGCTATTTTTAAGCTATCTGCTTTCAGTATTTCTACACAACTGCCTCAGTTTCAATGGGAGGAGTGGTGGCTCCATCCTATTTCTCACCTTGGTAACAAGTGCAGAGTAACTCATGGCAGGTGACAGACCGATTCCTAGTCGCTGGAGGTAGCAGTGGATCATGTGGGGCTTTGCAATGAGGCTGAAGGTGCACAGATATCCGAGGCAAATCCCTGCTAGTATAATGTAGCACAGCTCCCGGCTGGAGGACTTCACAACAGGGGTGTCCCGAAAACTTATAGACACAGTCAAACAAACATTAGATATGATGATGGAGACATTGAATCAAAACCCTACAACAATTAAAATATACAAAGATACACAATAACAAAGTTTAAAGAAAAAAATCTTTAGGTTTGAAATATTTCTTCATTGAAAAAGTTTCTTACTAGATAAAAACTGCAGTGACAAAGAAGGTAGACATTAGTCCGAGGCAAGCAAACACCACAGCAGCTATTGGTTCTGGATCCCCCCATCGCAGGTACTCCACAGGGATCGGGTCGCAGCCTGGAGAGAAAGGGTGAAAGCATGTGAAGAAGGAATATTAGAAGCAAACTTTAAATTGTTGTATGAATAACTTCAAAGCTTTTTCTGTGTTCACATTTGGCTTGATATTTCTCGTCATGTAGATCAACTATTGCTTGACCTACATGCAAAAATTATAATGAAGCAAAACCACCACTTTACATTACCCTGAACATAATTAAACTAATGGTGACTTGGCAATGCTGGAAAAAAAAAAAGTTAGATGTTGCCTCTTCCCTAGTCTTGAGACAAGGGAAGAGGTTCGTCTTCCAGGAGGACAAACACCAGCGATATGCAGCCGGAGCGAAGATGAAGTGATTTAGATCCAAGCATTTGCATATGTTAGAATGACCCAGAAAAACTCGAGACCAAAATCGAATTAACAACCTGTGGCAAGAATTAAACATTGGTGCTCACCGATGCTCTCCTGTCAATCTGAATGAGCTTCAGCTACTTTGCAAAGATAAATTAACAAATATATTTGTCTCCAGATGTGCTGGTGGTTGATGTTCGCAAAGCACGTCCCCTAACTTTCTTCCTCTTGCTTATCAGTGTTGAAACCAATCTGTGCCTGATTAAAATTCAGCAAAATTCTTGGTGTTAAGACTGTTCAACCAGCTGACCAACAAGCAGAAAAGACTCAACAAATATTTCTACAAACACAGCTGTGTCATAAATATGACATTCCTATAAGTTTGAATTAGTATAAAAATAATGATAAACAATATAATTGAATAGAGCAGCTCTTTGTCACATACAAATATATCTTAGTAATAGAACTTTAATCTCCTTACTCCTGAAGACTCATCATGAATTTTTCTTCCTCCATTTATTCTCTTATTCCTCCATAAATTATTCTGGCCTTTAAATATCCCCTAATATCTCCCTTATCTCTCCACTTCCTCTTCCATCCCACCTAGTTACCTAATTCTTTTCCTCTTTATCGCTGTCTTCTCCATTCGTGATGAGATAAAGGTGCATTAATTAAAGAGACAGCTCTAATTATATTCCGTATTTATGCTGGTGGACTTTATCTGGGTACTTTTTGGCCACGAGTAGAAAACCAACTTTCTTTCCTTGACTTTCAAGCCAGTCTTGCTTTTTCTTTCTGGAAACACGACACAATTTCTACAGAGGCAGATTTTTTTTTTTTTTGTATTAGGTTCAATGTTTTCAACATGATAAACAATGCTCATGAAATCAATAATGAAATGATGAAAGCAAGGGAGTGATAAAAAAAGTAAGTCTTCTGAAAAGTTGTATAAAAGCATAAGTTTCGATTTTATTTTAACAGTCAAGCACACACATAAAAATGAATGTATCTAAGTTCTGTCTCAAAAATACTCTGGAAGACGGCAACATTTTATATGTGACAAAAATTATGTAGCTTTGAATCCAAGGCTGAAAGTCCTCTGACATGCCCTCACACCTTTAGCTATGTCAATTGCCACATTATTTAGTTCATAGAGTTGCAGGAAATTGTGAACTGCGATATTCGACCAGAAGCTGAACTGGTTTGGGGTTCATTGAATCAAAAGTTTTGATATAAACTCAATCAAACAGTCTAAAGGGCTTAGCTATGATTGGTGAGACTCAAGTCTCACAGCAAATCCTCATTTTTTCTGTTCCTTTTCCTGCAATGGGTTCTTCTTATGTCACAGCCTCCATTCACTTCACTTTACCCTCATTTCATCTTTCTAAATTGTTATTTCTCTCCCTCAGCCGTTGTATCAAAACCTATTCTCCACCTCTCCGTGGTTTCAAATGTGTCTGACCTCTCTCGCTGTTTCTGGTGGTTCATCCTTGCTCTACCTTGTCTCTTTGCTCTGCCTTTTGATTTCTGAGTCTTTTGGATTTATTTTCCATTGGTCTGAGTTTGAAGGATCAAAATGTGTGGAGTTAAAACTAGATTTGCTTGAAGTGCTCCTGTTTATAGTCATGGGAAAAATAACATTTCCACCACTGTTAAGACATTTATTTGAAAAAGTCCATCCTTGTTGCTTCCAGGATGTAAGAGCAATTAACTGTAAAATCAGGCATTTTGACCTTTTGGTGATACGAAGCATATAGCTCCGTAGCCCCTTCTAGCAATCAGTGCAGGGTTATAAGGCTACTTTCAACCTATCTGAGTAAATGATTTCATATTGAGAAACATTACTCACATAATAAAACATCTAATAGCCTGTAGGATCTGAAATATTTCTTTTCGGATCCCACAGGCTTCAGCTACCATGTTGAATATTAAAGGTCAAGGGAGGACAATAAGAAAAGACCGCCCTCCGTCTACAGGACGAACTCCGACCACCGTTGTCAACGTCACCCCACAAGAGTTGAGGAAATGTGACATCAAATAAATTGGCAAGTGTCATATTTCTCTTTCCTACTCTCAATTTTGGTTCAGGATTTGAGTTTTAGGATGCTTCTTTTTGTGACAGTGATCCTTCATTTGAATTTTCAGCAGGGCTTGATTCATGTTTTAATCATCAAGCTCAGTGAGGGACATTATAATGAGCAGCTGAGAGCACAACAAGACAATCCCAGTGCTTCCAACGCAATAAAGGTGGAGTAAAATTCACGAGGTCTGTAGTGTTTTTGAATAAAAAATTTAAAGCCTCTCTTAATACAGAATAATTAAAACACTCATGACAATGTCTGTGACATGTAAAGCGGATGAGAGAGGCAGAGGTGAGTCAAAAAAGAAGGGTTGTCTAATGTGTAGTTGGTGCAGAACTTTTCAATTTACTGTAACAGCACCCTAGATGAGAGAACGCTCATCTCAGCGTAATTCTAATTTAAATTGCTTAATCTTTTCTGCATTCCCACAAGGAGTCACCCACTTTGAACAAGAACTTCTTTGTTACAACATTTTAGCATCTTCAAGAACTGAGCAAATGCAGAACCACAAACATACAGATGCTGACCTGTGAGGCCATCATTAGGCCAGGAGCCAAGACTACAGGCTTGACAGGTGTATTCATCAAACACAAACTCGTTTTCTTTGCACAGGGTGCACGTCCAGCAGCAGCTCACCTCACCCTTGCGGATCACCTGAAACAGAGACCATAAGCATTTTATTTTTTTTTACTGCTGAACAAGTGGCCGTTAAAATGCAGGGATTGAATTGGAATTGTATTTGATGACATTGCAGCTCGTATGCAGCGGCCTCAGTATATTTATGTAAAATTGAGCTTGTGTCAAGTCAAGCAGAAAATATCATATTTCTTTGAATAGGGGAATCTGGGAATGAGGAGCACACATAGGAACCAGTAAGGATGCAAGCATAGTGTAAGTTACATAAACCACAGGCTTGCATAGAATTATAAATCATTTGCTTTGTTGATTATAGAAATAGAAATTTGCACGAGACAGTTTGAAAATCACTTTTATGACATAAGATTTTGTGACGTACATTGGAAATTACTTTTGCTTGCCTTTTAATATTGCCAGGGGAAGAGCAACCACTGCAAACCATGCAAAATGAACACTTCATTTACAATATTGTTTTTGTGGCATTTAAATCTTTCAAAAAAAACATTTAAAGCATATCTGCCATCTTACCTTAATTTGCCCTTTGTCACAGGGTTCACTGCAGACCGATTTAATGATGGCATCTTTGCTGGACCAGATTTCATCATCAGCTATCTTCAGTCCACTGTTGTCCCAACTACCAACATTGACGTAGTCATAGTAGTCCCTCCCCATCTTCTTGAAATTCATTATTTCATACCTATTTAAAACAATAAAAATGTGCAGTGAACATATGGCACTAAGTTCCCATTGAGAGATCAAAGAGGTGGGTTATGGGAATTATGCTGGATATAAATCACCCAGCAACTTTGCCTACCTGCCAGGTGAGTCTCCATTTTCATCAAATAAAATTCCCTCCCCAGACACACCAGTGAAGTTGGTCTTCATCAGGAAGTCCAGCAGAGTAGCACCATCTATAGGCCGCATAGCATCACAAAGGCCCTGTGGAAATGTTAGCCATTAGCCTTAAGTATGCAAATGAATTCAAATTAATGCTCAAAATAACCATGGTGGTATGTAATTATTCAACTTTTTGGAACGATTTCCAAAGAAACATAAACATATTCTAATATAGTGTTTAATAAATGTGAAAAAGATAAACTTCATTGTCCCCAAGAGGCAACTTGTTTTACACCCAGCAAAGAACAAACACAAAAAATTACAAATACAACTGACAGAAATACAGAAATCATGGCAACACAGGTTCCTACAATTTCTGTTTAGGCTTTTCAGGTCAAATTACAATGAGGCTGGCACAAACATGCTATTTTAAACTAAGTCAAATAATAGAGCATTATTAACTGATTAGTTAAGAAATAAAATAAAATCAGAGGTGCGATCATTGATCTCACCAGAGGTCAATAATCTCAAAGATCAATGATCTCAATAAAATTGTGGGCTTTTTCATAAACATTCAAAGGACAACATTCAGATAGACGTTTCATTGCCGTTGGTCTGATGTTGCATCTTCACCTATTTGTCCATAAAACTTATTTAAAGTTAAAAATCGTTGACAATGCTGTCTGTAGTCAAGCAGTTTAACTAAGGGGATCTAAAGGGAAATAAACATTTTATCTGTGACACTCAACCAGATTTTCTGTGACTTACTGGAGGCTTGTTTGAATTCAATCAACAGGCAGTGAGTGATCACTTGTTAAAAATCCACCAGCACATTTTCCCAGCAAAAAGATTATTTACAAAAAGACATTATGAGGCTGGTAAACATGTTTCCTTCTACCCTATTGCCTTTCTGCTTTATGTTTAAATGATGTATTAAGTTCATGCAAACAACATTCCACCATAGCTGTTCTATACATCTAATACTGCAACACGTTTAATTTTATAAGCATTAAATCTTGAGCATGAGATGTGCAGGTTAAAGATGCTACAGGAATAGATATTTTTAGGAAATGCAATTAGTAGCGATGTAAGAGAGAGTGACAACAGCTCCCGTAACCATAAAGGAGAGAGTAGCACTTTTAGATGTTTAAAAAACATTATTGTAATGAGGTGAGCAGAAGAAGTAACCTATGTCGACAGCAATTTACTAAATGAAGAACAGGAAACTCAAAGTGCAACTCAACTAACCTAAATCACAAGAAAAAGAAAACAGAAACAACTTTCAGTTGTCAATCATCACTTCTAAGCTTCTCCTATGTAGGAAAGTGAACCAAACTCCGGTGGTGCACAAAGAAAAGGCCACTTTTAGAATGATTGCAGAAGAGATCCAGTTTAATTAGATGCAAATGGAGATTTTTGGCCTGTGTATGTAAAACGTCTGATGATATTAGACAGTGCATGAAAGCCAAACTCAAATTGGCAGGAAGAACACTCTCTGATGGAGTTGAATCACTTCACTCTTCACAGTCATGGTTTACAATCTGAAAAGCTCTTCCTCGTTCAATTGGGATACTTTCTGACTTTTTGTCCGACATGACAAAAAAATCAAAAATGGGAGTAAAGTCTGCTGAAACATAGGGACAGTGGAACATAGGGACAGTCCCCAGAGAGACTTTTGCACGGTCTATTCAAGTAATGACTGATGAGTCCACTTTGCGCAACAATGCAAGGTAGCGAGGCAAAGGAGACACTGCTGGACTCTCTGCATGAACTAAATGTAGTTGCACAGCCAAATTGGAATTTGAGAAAGAGCTTAGACAGTGAAACACAATTATCGACCCACTCAGCTTTTTCTGTACTGCTGCCGTGGTCCCTCGTGTATTTCTTTTTCGACTGGACCTACCTGATAGCCTGGACATAGAGAACGCTGCATGTTATGCAGGCCGAATGCCATTGAGTAAATAGCATTAATGACAAATCCCATCTTGGTGTCCTGTGCGTAATGAGTCTGCAGGGAATCCCTTCCTGTGAAGGTGAACAGATAAATAGATAAATGAAGCAGAAGAGGGCTGACAATTGTATTGATGAGTGTGGTTGGGGAAAAAAAACTAAATAATTTATTTGTAACATCAAAGGGCCCTTTTTCCTCTTCCTCTTCAGTCACTCCCCACCTCCACATTGCATTTCTGCATCTTTCTTGTGTCCTGTTCTTTTGTAATTCCTGTCCCATTTCATTAGAATAAATAAGAAATGACTCCCTTTGATGCAGCTCTGGAGTACTGCTTAGCCTATGAATGAAGTGAATGAAACAGACAGAGAAGGGGAGGGCATTGAATCATAATATGAAAATCAAGGGAGGGTTCATTCTCAAGATGAACCTAAAGGTCGTGTGCGTCCATGTGGTCTGTTTGTAGGTGTGTGTCCAGCCTTTCAAAACGTTTCCCCTCACAGCTATTTTGAATGCAGGACAAAGGTGACCTGAGTTTTCATCAATTCCTTTTTTATGGATAAAAGTTCTCCAGCCTAATCTGCATGAAAGTAATTGTTCGCATTGGGTGAAATTGACTCATCTTAACAGTACTAAATAACAAAGCTTCATTTCTCTTGCCACACCTGCGCCTGAGTACAATCCAACCTGTAGAATCAATAAATCACTTAAATAGAACATTTCTGACAACATAAAGTAGGATAAAAGATCTTAAGCAACACATCATCTGCCAAAAATCCAAAGAGAAGCAGACATCTATTAGAAATGGACTAGAAATATTTACAAAACCATATTGAAGGCTTTGAGACTCCACAATGAATCAATATGAACCACTGGAGAAACTGTGGACCTGCTCCACCAGATGAAAACTACTGGATGCTCACACATTTGCCAAACCGTATCTTGACATTTCCTCAAATTATTTCATATGTGACATCAACCATGACTATTACACTGAAGGACATTTACGTGGTTCAGCATTATTGAATGAATTCTTGGTCTGACCTTCAGTGGGTGACTTTACACTCCACTGCGCTTAGATCGTGGCGGCATGGCCTTAAACAAGCTGCTCCAAAAAAAACCCTCCAAAACCAGTGAAATTAAAACTAGTCTGCAGAGAAGAGTGGACCAAAAATCTCCACAGAAATATAAAAGGCTCATAGCAAGTTATCACAAGCACTTGATGGCAGCTGCTGATGCCAAGGATAGTGTTAGTGTTTTAGTTTAGGGACCAATTACTGTTTCACAAAGCAAAAGATGTGGTTTGGAATGTTTTATTAACATAGCATCAAAATTACAGTCTTTTGTTTTTACCTAGTGTAGGAGCAGATGATAAATGAATATATGATCCACCTGCTGTACAGGTGGAAACTGAGGAGATGTAAATAATAAATAGATGACCTTCACAATGATCAAGAGGTAGCTCTGACTTTAATTCATCTGACAAGGTAGCAATCAGTGTGTCAAAACTACCCTGGTCTATCACCTCAAAGTCACTAAAAACAGAACATAAATATGCTAGTGGTAGTCTAAAGTATTAGCTTGGCCAACACACTGAGCAATATTCTGAAATCAGAATTTTTTTGATGGCCTTAAACATTCAAGTGTTTTCTGTTTTGGTTATTTATCTGTGTCTCTCCACTTACTCTCACAGGTGCGGTTGTACTTGTTGCTCTCCTGTGGATGACCTTTCAGTCTGCAGTGAAACCGATGCTGCCAGAACTCCGGAAACCAAGGATTCCTGTGGTTGTTTTCAGGACGGAGCTTAAGGTAGTAATCGTCAAACCATTTCACGTCCGCTGACTGCAGCTTGATGGTAATACCCCCGGCTGCTTCCTCGGCATAGCCTTCTGTCACGTCGTACCTGTCTGCCCATCCATCGCTGGAACAAAAGGAAAGGAGAGAAAAGTGGTCATGTTTACCAAGTTTGAGCATTCAAATGAGTGCAATCTGTATGCCAATGAGGATACAAACATACAGTGCCTTACAGAGGTATTCAAATTATTTAAAATCCATATTTTGTAATGCTACATCTTCATATTTTAATGTATTTTAGTTTTATCTTATGATACAGACCAACACAGTGTAGAACATACTTGGGAACAGGAAATAATAGGATTGATTATTTCCAAATTATTTACAAATAAAAATTTTGAACATATGGCACGTAGAATATTTGTATTTATCCATCTTTATTTTATTACTGCAACATAGAATCCTTTGCAGAAACCAATTGTCTTCTGAGGTTGTCTAAGTAAAGAGAGCCCACCTGCTATGTACGATTTAATCGTTCAGCTTAACAAAATCTACCGGTTCTGTGGACATCATAAAGGTTTGTTAGAGCAAAGTAGTGAACAAACAGCATCACAAAGACTAAGAAACATAACCAGACATAGAGTGAAAGGAAACAAAAATAGAGCCATCACTAGTCAGAAGACACGTAGGAGGAAGAGATTACATCCTGACGGGCCATGTCCAAAATCCAACGGATCGTTTACAAGAGGGTTAAAACCACTAGGCACATACACACCCACACATAGCCAGACTCTCGAGATGATCTAGGTCAAACTGAGTTTGTCTGACTCTGTTGATAAACGGCAGCTATATGCATGTCAGCGCCTCACAATTCACCCCCACAACACATCTAGACACTGTAGTTTACATCTTTAGAAAGACACCTGGGGTTGCCACTCCTTTACAACGAACAGATGGCAACGTGGATGTGTCTGCATGTGAAAGGCAGCGATAAAGGGAGGGAAGTGAATTGAATGACAAATGTCTTCTCCTTCCACAATTATCACCAGCCTGTCACAACCAAAACAATGATCCTCAGTTCCTCCACTGAAAGTTAGTTTCTTTCAGCATAATTTTTGTTTATTTTAGCCTTTTCTGCCAGTGTTTCTTTTCTCGCTCTTCTCTCTGTCTCAGAGCCTCCAGAGTACAGAACTAATTTTCTCCTTCAGGAGTCCCTGCACCCTGAGTCACGTTGGAGATCCAGAGTGGAAGTGAACTGCTTCCCCTACCCTGCCTACCACAAAGTTCACCTCTGTCAATTTGTCCCTTCTTCTTGTCACAGTTACTGTCACCCTCTGTCACTGAGCTGTGGTCAGAAATCATAGTGAAATCATTTTTCAATTACCATAAATCGATGTAGCATGAGTAAATGTTTAGCCTCTTATTTGTATGGTGCAAAAGGTCAGTGCAATTAATAAGAGACTACAATCTTGTCACTGATACTCGCTTAGCTCTTTTTAAAGTTTCTATGAAAATTTGTTCTTTTAATCCAATTAATGGGGGCATATTGTGTTAAATTGAGTTTTTTGATTATTCCTTCATCTAAAACACACCTGGATTGTTGTTAACTGTTTAGCACATCTTTCCATCCCATTTTATCCCAGGATGCTTTTATTATCATGCCAAGGGATGAAATGAAATCAATTTGCAAAACCTTTGCTCAACCAACTACTTTGGGTGTGGGGAATAGCCTCAGGTGGTTAGCATTTAGTTGAAATTGACACCAGTACACAGGGCCAGCTTAGGTGAGATAATCATTGTCAATAAAGTGGACGGGCTGAGATTTTTGGCAGAAAAGCATGAGCAGACCCTTGGGAGGCACTTTATCTCTGCACCTGATTCCAGCTCATACTGAAGCTCTATGCTCAGCTGCCATATTCTGCTTGGCTTCTAACATCCCCGTGCTTTAGTTTTGTGATGTACTCAATGTACAACACTAGTAAAGTTCAAATGTCGACAAAGAAACTTTGAGATGGATGAAACACGACACAAACTTTAGTTTTCTTCCTCCAGTACCTCTACCTTACCAGCCAAATGTGCATATTGCATTACTAGAAAGATCCACTACTAGTGAAAGACAGGGTCTTATGTCTAAACATAAAAAAAAAAACTACTGGTATTCCGCATAGAAATACCATCAAAACAGCAAAAAGGATAAAAAAAGAGAAAAAAACAAAAACAAAACAACTTTATTGTTTATAGCCTGTAAATATCACTCTTTAGTGGTAATTCTAAGCTGAAAAGTGCTGATTTATTTATTTATTTTCGAAGGGATGCATTTGGTTTGCTGTCATTTTGAAGTTCACAACAATTAAATTACTTTCCTCAAGGACAAAAATACGAAAAATACAACCTTACTTTTATCAGTGAAAGTGATTATCAGAGTTTTTGCTGTACAACCCGTAGAATGTTCTATGAAATACATTTCCTGAATTTTAAGTCAAACACACAAACAAACGGGTTGTTACAGATTAAAGATTAACACTTGAGATATGCAGCTGTGTGGGTAATGATGCAAAAAAAGAGGAGGAGGGTACAGTATATGAGGATAAGCTGAGTGTGCGGACAGAAAAAAGGCTGCAGTTGTTTACCTATTATTTCATCAGAGAGTAGACAGATCAATCGTTTTCTATTCTGGATCAAAATAAGTGTTATAAATGACATTCCATCTATTTCTCTCTTTCAGTCTCCTTCCACATGTCTGGAAACGCAAGGCCGTTGTCATGGTTTTCAGCCCACGCTCAATCTGCTGTCTGTACTTTGTGTCTCATTAGAGGCACACTGGATCGTAAGTGTATGCACATACACCCACACACTCTCTCCACCCCTGTCACACACACGCACACACACACTTCCGCTCTTACTTTTCTATTCACTATTCAATTAACATCTGATGCCCTGCACCAATGTCACAAATGCTATTTGAGTAACCGTACAATATTCCAGTGTTGTAGGCCACCAAAATACCTTAAGCGTAACTTAAGCGTAACTTAAGCAAATCAATTCTAAAAAGCTGGGCCCGAGGCACCTGCCTTTCCTTTCTGTTCATTCAGGGTATAAATAGAAACTAGAACTCATTTGCAAATGGTTATTAATTTGTAGCTGGCTGTTTCTTGGTTATAAAATCTATCACAAGACTGAAGTTTCTGACTGTCTGGATTCCAGAAAAAGGCTTAACAAAGCCTTGGGTTTCTTACTTTATATGTCAGTATTACATAATATTACATGCAGAGTTACTTTGTACAGACGAATTTGCCTCACTAAATGTAGATGCTAAAAAATAAGTAGATTACAGCAATGTTGACTGTTCTAAATTCAATAAAAGATATTTGATCCTTCTACTTTAAAATGATTTATTCTGCTCACAGATGCAGCAATTTGAAAAGAATTGAACATGTCTTCAATATCAAACAGACAAATTAATATTTTAAATCATTTATTGATCAGTTAACACCTTCAACAGGCCACCAGTTCATCACAAGACACCATAAGACACACAAAAGGTAACCAACCATGGTCCTAAAAAGGTAAAGAAAGAGGCAAATTAATCAAATCAAGAACAGTGGCAACATGCAAACTCTGTGGAGAAGAAAACTGTACCATGCATCCTTACTGAGAAAGATCCACATATAAATTTCTATGTACCTTAAATCGACCAAATATGTGACTTATGGGCATGAAACAGTTTGAGGTTTTCAGTCTGGTATCCTTAACTCAAAATAAATGTCACAAATTGCACAATTAACAATTAAAGCAATTGTAGAGTAACAATTATTCCAGCATCTTCTACAATGATATAACTTTAATTAGTCGATCTAATAATATTACTATATCATCCATTTATTGTAATTTTGACTGCAAACAAAGACTTTAAGCAAAATTCCAGATTAAGCCCTCGTCAATTCTTTAGTAGTTTAATTTTTTAACCTTTAACCTTCTGCGCTTTAGAGTTTCACAGGTATAACAAGCTCAAGCAAAGAAACTCACGAGTTTCTTTTATCTCTTATCATGTTTGCATTATTCTCTAATTACCATATCAAAAGTCACCAGTTGAGTAAAAAGAGGTCATCATCTGTAAAAATATTTGACTGGATCTGAAGCCGTGCTGCCAACAGGTCACTTTAGTAATTATTGCCCATGTTCAATGATAACATGCCACTCGATCCCAACACACTCTGACAACATGCCACTCGATCCCAACACACTCTGACAACATGCCACTCGATCCCAACACACTCTGATAACATGCCACTCGATCCCAACACACTCTGATAACATGCCACTCGATCCCAACACACTCTGACAACATGCCACTCGATCCCAACACACTCTGATAACATGCCACTCGATCCCAACACACTCGATCCCAACACACTCGATCCCAACACACTCGATCCCAACACACTCGATCCCAACACACTCGATCCCAACACACTCGATCCCAACACACTCGATCCCAACACACTCTGATAACATGCCACTCGATCCCAACACACTCGATCCCAACACACTTGATCCCAACACACTCTGATAACATGCCACTCGATCCCAACACACTCGATCCCAACACACTCGATCCCAACACACTCCATCCCAACACACTCTGATAACATGCCACTCCATCCCAACACACTCTGATAACACACTCGATCCCAACACACTCGATCCCAACACACTCTGATAACATGCCACTCGATCCCAACACACTCGATCCCAGCACACTTGATCCCAACACACTCTGATAACATGCCACTCGATCCCAACACACTCCATCCCAACACTCCATCCCAACACACTCCATCCCAACACACTCTGATAACATGCCACTCGATCCAACACACTCGATCCCAGCACACTTGATCCCAACACACTCTGATAACATGCCACTCGATCCCAACACACTCGATCCCAACACACTCGCTCTGTCACTGCCATGGTAACCTGGCACAGATTCCACATCAGCATCTGCTGCTTACAACCAAAAACACTGCAAACACACAGACGCACACAATCGTCTACACATTACAAACAGCACAGTAAAAAAAACCTTAAGCCCTTAATTAGCTGGACATAAAAGCTTAAACACTA